AAAGAAACTGTTTGGGGCTGCGTCGGTGGGAGTAACGAAATAATTTGGATATATCAACAAAGTTGAAGTGGTAAATTGGCCTTTAAAAGCACACACAACCCACAATTCCTCTATTCGCTCCGACGAAGGGATAACGCTCGAAACGTCAGCTTTTGTAATCGTTACGGTGGCCAATTTACCACTTCAGCTTTGTTGATATATCCAAATTATTTAATCACGAATTGCTGACTAAAACACACCCGGAAATTGCTTGTGATTCAGAGAGTGAAATTAAATTAGCATTCTATTTAAAGCGGTGAATTAGATCTGTTAAGTATCGCGTGATCTTTGCGCGGAGTTTGACAACTTTGTTGTGACAATTTATCATTTTATTGTCTGATTTCTCTATCATTGAATGATTATGCAGATTTTAGAGCGTGACCAAATGTGTTGTTCTCGAGTCTGTGTCACCTAATAAAACATGCTATAAACGTAAATGATAATCAACGTCATTTTCTCTTCATTACGTTAACAGCTGTTCTTCTTTCCTCGTTCATGATTCATCTTATCTCCTACACTCGAACATGGGAGCCGCAAACGTAGAAGAAACACGAAGAACAGGGGAACGGGAAATAGTTTGAAGTCTGGAACAACGTTGGTCGTTAAGAACTCTGATTTAAAGAAAACAAAAACATCCTCCTTCATGTGGGAAAAGGTGGTGAATTAACACAAAAACACAACACAATGATTTACACGAGGGCTAACCAGAGGTATGGGAAATAGTTTTAAAGTCTCGAACAATGTTAACCGTTAAGAACTCTGGTTTAAAAGAAATAACAGCATCTTTGACATTCTTCATGGAGGGAAAAGTGGTGAATTTACCCGACGACCAAAACACAATATGCCCTTTGCTGTTACAATACAAGGCAGAGCAGCAGAAGGCTAAAAACTCCTTTAAACTTTTTTCTCACAGATAATTGCATTCTTCTTGGAGAGACAGTAACTCACTTTTTCATGACAACGAAATCAAAAGGATAACCCCCAACATGATACCTTTGGATTAAATTCAACGAATACTCGGCTTAAAAGATACTACAATACTCATAATCATCAAATGTGTGAAGTTGTCTATAATGAGCTCAGATAAGACTCTCTCTCGTGTCATGTGGTTAGGATTAGACACATAATAATCAAATATCAAGCTTACAAAGAAACTACGAAAATATCTGATTTAAATCAATGTTGAAAAACTTGCTTACTTAAAAACAGCTTACACTAGTGTACAATAGTTATATAGATAACCTTGCATTCAAAACACTCCACAGTCTTAAGACGACTTCCAATTATCACATTTCAAGTGTGATTCCTACAAAACAAAATTAGAACTATACAGTTGCCATAGTGTTTTTACACTTTGATAGTACTAACTACTGACAATGCCAATTTAATTTGTCGGTATAAAAACAAGCTCCATCTAACGAGCAAATTGCAGACTGTTATCAAACTTAGAAAAGCTCTACCCAAATATGCTCTAATTAAACATGATGAAAGAAATGTAAATTTGATAATTAAAAGCTATTTACAACAATCAGTGCCATTGTACAACTATTTAGCAGGAATGCCTATTTTGCCATCACAATACTCCTAGGGTTTAGAGCAGTTGACATGTTTCATCTCACTGAAAGTGAAATTTTTTTCTTCTGAGGTCTGTTCACCTGCATGATGTATGTAACTTTTCATGTTCATTTGAAGTTTGATTAATATTCAGACATGTACAGTCACTCTCTTACGCCCAGTGATCCGATTAATCTGCGCTTTAAATATGTTCTTTTGAATTAATCAAGACATGACGACTAATTGATTGCTGGGCTGTGAAGAGGACCGAACAGATCATCGCCTATTTCAGGGCTTCGATTCTGTGATTAATTTACAGCATAAACAATCACTGAAGTAATGAATCGAAAGAAATCTTTAGACTTTCCTCAGCAATTTAACGCAATCTGTCGATTCTACGAATTCTTTTGCAACACATGAGTTAAAATTAGTAACGCCTGAAGATATTCTCTTCAGTTTTGTTTACGAAGAATTCGTTGTTAATTTAATGAATGTGCATTTACTTCAGAATGTAAGCTTCTTTCGTGTTGTAGTCTGTGACCAAAATCCCTCGAATGTAAACTGTTGAATGCGATGATTCAACACGTCGCATACCAACACGTTGCCAAACTTGTCCGTACAAAAGTTACACGGCCGATTTAACTCTCCATCACCGTTTCCTTTTTCTCCAAAGTTCCGCAACTTTTGCCATCAAACACTTTTACACAATTATTATTCTTGTCAGTTACAACGAACTTGTCCTTGTACCAAGCACAGTCGCTTGAATGATCTAGCCTCTTTCAACCTTTGTCTCCATACTTCAACTCAGGTTTGCCATCTAATATAAACATCTGAATTTTGCTGTTATTAAAATCCGCTACAACGATAAAAAGCTCATCCCTTGAAATAGACACACTAGTGGGATTGTGTAACTCTCCGTATCCACTTCCTCTCTTTCCATTGCTTTTCACAAAGTTCCCTGTCTGTACGTTCAACCGCTGTATTCGGTGATTGAATTCATCTGCCACCAGAATCTTGTCATCCTTTAGGAAAGTGATGTCGGCTGGTCTGTTAAACTGCCCATCCTTGTCTCCATAGGAACCAAGTTTTCGCACAAATTTTTCTGTCTCATCAAATACCAGGATACAGTGACCTTTATTATCAGCCACAGCAATAACACCTTTACTATTCACTGCAATGCCAGTTGGTCAAATTGTTTCTAAAATTGTTTTCAAAATAAGAAAACTTACAGATATTCTCCTCAGGTTTCTTCACGAATATTTGCCGGTTAATTTAATAAATGTGAGTTTATTTCACAGCATATATTTCATTCCCGATAACGTCTGTAATCAAAATCCGATCATCTGGCATTGAGATAACACCCCAGGGCCCTTTGAGATTAAGTTTAGTACTTGTCTTTCCAATGAAAGTTCCTTCTAATGTAAACATCTGGATGCGATTGTTCAGCTTGTCACATACGACAATCTCTCCATACTTGTCAACACATACGCCATACGGATTATTCAGTTCTCCATCAGCGTTTCCTATTTCTCCAAACTTGTACAAAAACTGTCCTTTGCTATCAAACACTTTCACACAGTTATTGCTGGAGTCAGTTGCAATGAATTTGTCTTCGTAACAAACACAGCCGATTGGATGATCCAGTCTATCTGAGCCGCTGTCTCCAAATTTCAACACAGGTTTACCATCCATTGTAAACACCTGAATTCTGCTATTAGAATACTCCACTACAACGATAAAACGTCCATCACTTGTAACACAAACACCAATGGGATATTGTAACTCTCCGTCTCCACTTCCCTTTTTTCCAAAACTTTTCACAAAGTCTCCCGTCTGAACATTCAACTGCTGTATTCGGTGATTATATTGATCCGCCACAAGAATCTCATCATCGTTTATGAATGTGATGTCCACTGGCTGATCAAACTGCCCATCTTTATTTCCATGACAACCAAACTTTCGCCTTAACTTTCCTGTCTTTTCAAATACCAAGATACAGTGATCAAGACGATGAGCCACAACAACAACACCTTCACTGTTCACTGCAATCCCGGTTGGACCCTGCCGCACTTCTTCCTGAAAGTCTAACCTGCCTACAAAGTTTAACTCACGCGCTTTCACTGGAATCAAAACTGGACACTCGAAAAGTTTCCGTCCATTTATCTTTAATTCCATTTCATAAGTACCTGGTATTTTCGGTTCAAATTTTACCTGAAAACCCCTGCCTTCATTTTCACTCGTCACCAAACTTCTCACTTTATCTGCAGGGTCTATTTGTACTTCAAAACGATCTCTGTGCAGAGTATTTCTAATTTCTCCTTCGCTCTTTTTGGGAAAAATCAATAGCTCAGCTTCTACACCAGCTTGGATATTCCGTTTCCGTACTTTCACGGTGGATACTTGCATATCTGTTTCGCTGAATTTCATAAATCCCAGACTTAAACTCTCTGGTTCACATGTCGACACAAACTCAACAGACGATCTAACCGGAAGTGTAGGCATTTTGGTCTTGATGAGGTCTTGGACTCGTTCTTCCACATTCTTCTTGTTTTGCATTATGTCTGAGCTCGAGCTTCTCATAACCAGGTTGTTACTGAAGTCAAATGCTTGGTCGAGTTGTTTTTCCAATGAGACAACCGATGTTTTCATAGCATTTAATTTCTCAATTCGACTCACGCGAGCCCTCTCAAGGGCAGTAATGCCTTCACGCTCCAATTGGCGAAGCTTTCCCATCATCTGTTCGGCTGTTTCGGTAACCTGGCGTTTAGCAGAAGTAATATTTGCTTCCAATTCAGCTTCTGTCTTCTCAAATTCACAGATAATTCCTCTGCAGACCTCTTTCTTCTCTCTGACCAGCTGTGCCAGAGCAATGATGTTTGCTTTCTCATCATCCGCTGCTTTTTCAAGCAGAACAACATCATGGTTTTTGTGATCGGTGGCGATGCATACTGGACAAACACAGGTTTGACAACCCACACAAAAAAATTTTGATACTTCTCTCTCATGATACTTAACGGAGCAAAATGACTGCCTTTTTAACAGGGCCTCGTAGTCTGTGGCTTGAAACTGTCGCACTGGGGTGATCTTGTGTCCCTGAAACACAGTATCTCGAAACACTTCGTGAGCTTTCACACAGTCGGGGCACATAAACTTCTTGCATTCGAAGCAGTAATTGATTTCAGCGCTCTTCTTCTGGCATGTATCACAGCTGATCTCATTTCCTTCGCCACTGCGTCGAACGGCAAGAAGACTTACCAAACTGTTGTGTAGAAAACTGTTTGGCAAATTATCAAAATGCTTTCCTTCAGGGATGCGAATTTGTGCCTGACACTCGGGGCATGGATAAAGCCCTTGTTTTTGTCTCGTTAGTGCATGTCTCTTCAGGCATTCACAGCAGAATGTATGAAGACAAGCAATGGTCTTAGGCTTGGTGTAAGTGTCCAAACAAATCGAACATGTTACATGTTCTTTGAGGTTTTTAAGAAGCGACTCCATCATGAATTGCCTACTAAAATACACAAGTTTATTGTTTGTGATTCCGAGAAACTGAACTTGGGTTAGCATTCTATTTAAAGCAGCGAATCAAATCTCTTTACGATTGCGTGATTTTTGCGCAGAGGTTAACATTTTTCCATGGCAACTTTATACACCTCTTGTTTACCTTCTCTACCAGAGTAACTCGAACTGGAAGTTACTCACTGGGAATGGGATTTAGCCACTGGGAATGGGATAAACAATTATAAAATGGGAATGGGATTTCTTTTCTTCAGCGGTCTTTGCTCCAATATTTTGAAATAGAAAAGTAAAATTTCTTAGCAAAAGACCTTGCTCTCCTCAGTAGAGATCGTGAAATCAGTATTTTTCGCCCTCGAGCCCGCGGTCTAGCTACCAGGCTTAAACGGATGCATAGTTACGTTCTGTCACTTTTTCTGGTCAGCGGAAAAGTTCTGCTAGTTTGCATATGGCGGGAAGATATTGTGAAGGGAAGATAAAAATGGCTTCGCAAAAGGTTTCTCGCAAAAGGATACTACAAATCGAGTACTTCAATGCAAATAACGCCGTTATACACACCGAAAACTCTAGACTTTTGTTGGACGTAAACTGTAGTCCAAAGGAATTGGAAAAAATAGTTGTGAACAGTTGTGGAATTGAACATTCCGCTGCAAAGCGGGGTTTTTCGGACCATTCAATCGAGGTGTACTATGTGGACCATGTCGAACCAGGTAACCCGAAGAAAGCAACATTTATACTGTGAACGGATGAGACATTTGGAATGCGAGTCACGCTCGTTATTCGTTAAAGTGCTCCAGCGAGTAGCATCGTTTCAAAAAGGTACAGTAAACTTTGTGTTCGAGAGTTCATCTTCAACCTCAACAGACATGCAAATTATTGCGACTCTTCGAACTGCAAGAAAAGCACAGCCTCGGGTAAATCACCTAAAGAGTCAAAAAAGACCACTACAAGGAAAAGTAGGAGCAAGTTGCCCCAAACTCACGAGAAACTCAAGGACTTTCTTGAAAAAACAAACGATGTGAGACTGGCAGACGATGGAAAAAGCATGAAATGCTTGCTTTGTGGCAAAAATCCAAAACTGGATAAAAGTAAGAGGTCAAACAGTGGCCATGTAAAGTATTGCTGGCGTGTGCATAGGCGCTCTGTACGTGCAGAAGTCGAAGGCTCAAAGACACGGAAAATTGATGAGTTTTGGAAAAGCGACCAAGGGTAGACACCCAACTGATGCTGATATTGTGGTCAATGTGGAAGAGAAGACAGACCTTGAAGACCTGGAAAGTGGCACTAATATGCCTGATACACCTAAAAAAGTGACTGACACAGTAAGCAGTGTGTGAGTACTTGCATCTACTTGTATCCTGGTCATTTATGTTTGAGGTTGTGTCACCATGAGAATTTGTGAAGGCTGCACTTTTTTTTACACATGCACTCTTTCCATTATAAATTATTCAAACTGGAGTCAACTTGCGTTATTGTTGATAATTCGTTAAAGTTTTGGACCATTCGCAATACTACGGTGGCCCATAGGGGACATGACACATTTTTTTTATCGCGCGATAAATGATAGATTATCGCGCGATAAATGGAAATTATCGCGCGATAAATGAAAATAAACGCTCGATAAGTGAAATATTATCGCGCGATAAATGAAGATTATCGCGCGATAAATGGAAATCATCGCGCGATAATTTTTATTATTATCGCCCGATAACATTTATTATCGCGCGATAACATTTATTATCGCGCGATAATTTATCATTTATCGCGCGATAAATGGAAATTATCGCGCGATAATAATTAACAATTATTCCACGAGCGCGCGTTGGATATGAGATGATAGATCATCTCATATCCAACAAACGCGAGTGGAATAATTGTTTTATTAAAAACACTGCNGGCAGTAATGCCTTCACGCTCCAATTGGCGAAGCTTTCCCATCATCTGTTCGGCTGTTTCGGTAACCTGGCGTTTAGCAGAAGTAATATTTGCTTCCAATTCAGCTTCTGTCTTCTCAAATTCACAGATAATTCCTCTGCAGACCTCTTTCTTCTCTCTGACCAGCTGTGCCAGAGCAATGATGTTTGCTTTCTCATCATCCGCTGCTTTTTCAAGCAGAACAACATCATGGTTTTTGTGATCGGTGGCGATGCATACTGGACAAACACAGGTTTGACAACCCACACAAAAAAATTTTGATACTTCTCTCTCATGATACTTAACGGAGCAAAATGACTGCCTTTTTAACAGGGCCTCGTAGTCTGTGGCTTGAAACTGTCGCACTGGGGTGATCTTGTGTCCCTGAAACACAGTATCTCGAAACACTTCGTGAGCTTTCACACAGTCGGGGCACATAAACTTCTTGCATTCGAAGCAGTAATTGATTTCAGCGCTCTTCTTCTGGCATGTATCACAGCTGATCTCATTTCCTTCGCCACTGCGTCGAACGGCAAGAAGACTTACCAAACTGTTGTGTAGAAAACTGTTTGGCAAATTATCAAAATGCTTTCCTTCAGGGATGCGAATTTGTGCCTGACACTCGGGGCATGGATAAAGCCCTTGTTTTTGTCTCGTTAGTGCATGTCTCTTCAGGCATTCACAGCAGAATGTATGAAGACAAGCAATGGTCTTAGGCTTGGTGTAAGTGTCCAAACAAATCGAACATGTTACATGTTCTTTGAGGTTTTTAAGAAGCGACTCCATCATGAATTGCCTACTAAAATACACAAGTTTATTGTTTGTGATTCCGAGAAACTGAACTTGGGTTAGCATTCTATTTAAAGCAGCGAATCAAATCTCTTTACGATTGCGTGATTTTTGCGCAGAGGTTAACATTTTTCCATGGCAACTTTATACACCTCTTGTTTACCTTCTCTACCAGAGTAACTCGAGCCCGTCACGAAACAAAAAATGCTACTGTACAAACGTAAGAAAATATACCATCTACCTCATGGATGTTGGCCGGGTTGGGGGATGTGCCCAGTTACTCAGAAAGACATCGAATTTTCGCAGTAAAATTGTCAAATAAATGCAGGTGAAAATTGAAAGGAAAGAAAAAAAAAAAAAGAAAAACTTGCGGCTGCAACTCCAATGTGCCGCACTATTTCAGTTTAATTTTATGACCAGGCGACTCTGAAACATCAGCCCTCCGGTTCAACAAATGTGAACGGAACGGGGGAATGATGGGAGAAACAAATTACATGTAAATGAGTGGCCGGGTATTCTGAGGTCTAGCCCAAGTGGAGCCCAAGTAGAGCCCAAGCTACCCAACTGAAACGAGATGGAAGAGTCACCCTCTTAAATGAGCTCCTCTCTTTTGAAGCGCTCGGTGACAGCCTAAAAGAGGGCGAAGCTGGTGCGTTCTCCCCTTCTGTTCATGAGTGTTTAAATAGGGTTCGTGTTCTTTAAATGCCCAGCAGCTCTTTCCTTTTCTCGCGCCCTGAACAATGCTTGAAGATAAAATACGGGGTCTGTGATTTTAAAAGAATTTGAAAGCCCATTATTTCTTTGGGCACTTCACTTTTTTCTCGCAGCCTGCATGGTTTTTGTATGACACAAACCACTTACGAGCAGTTCATTCCCCTTACCATCCCCTCCTCTAACAAACTTAGGAAGGTTAATTGATAGGTAGACGCTATATTTTCACCCTCCTTAGTCAATGTGGATGATCTCAGGAAACTTCGCAATGAAGACTTTGCGCATGTACCACGAGGTTATCCTTCCAGCGGAGAATTTCAACATGTGGTTTTAAAGGTGAATAATGCATTTCATGCACTCGGTCTTCCGACTCAACAAATCGGTGAAATCCAAACTCAGACAAGTTTCCCAACGGAGTTAAGAAATATTCGGAAGAAAGTTGACAATCTTCAACAAGAGGTTATAGAGGAGGAAACAAAACTTCACGAAAAAGAAAAGGAACTCATTGAAAAAGAAACAAAACTCGCAGAAAAAGACAAGGAACTCGAAGAAAAGAGAATCAACGACATAACCTTAAAGAACATTTGCAAACCGAAGTCTCCCCATTTTGTATTCTCCCTCCTGAACCCACACATGACGTCTCTCCTCGCAGACCGGAGGATGATAAAATCACACAACACCTCAAAGCACTCAAAGATGCCAACAATGACAGCTTAAGCACCTTGTACTTATCCGGAGACCCTGGAAGTGGAAAATCTCAGCTGGCCCGACTAGCAGCCAAGCGATTTTTCGAAGTAAGCAAAGAAACTCTTTCAACGATCTCATTTGTCATGACGCTTAATGCAGAAAAATCCGAAACACTTTTGGAATAGTAGGTCTCTTTCGCTCGACACTGTAAATGTCCGGATTATTCAGTTGTAGTCACACGTAATTCCAAAGATCTGAGCGTAGACGAGAAAATTGTAAGTCTCAAGACGCTAATAAGCGCAAAAATTGGGCTTTACACGTCGTGGTTGCTGGTAATTGACAACTCACTAGTTTGTTTCGTGTATCTACTTATTTGCCAGCTCGAGGAAACCAACAATGGGTGGGGGGCCAGTTGCTGATAAGAACACAAGACACCAAGTCGATTCCTTTACCAAGCTCCACCATTCAGCACATCTCAGTAAGCGAAGGAATGCATCCTGATGATGCCAGCTCTTTGTTAAGGCTCCTCTCTGGTGTCACTGATGACAAGATTGAAAAAGAGACTCCACGGTCTTTGGACCACCTGCCGCTTGCTTTGGCCAGCGCCGCCATCTATGTAAGACAAGTTTAGGAGGGTAAGATAGCTTCACATTTTGGGTGGTTCAACCATCTGAAAAAACTTGAAAAAGGACAGAGACGCAGAACTGAGAACATTCTAGCCGAGACAAACCCAAGTTACCCAAAAACAATGACCACAGCAATAACACTCGCCTTGGAAAAGGCAACGAATTCCGACAGAGCTTTCGATCACTTGTTTACTTTTCTCTCTCTCTCTCTCTGCTACACAACCAATAGTAAAAGATATTGTCGTGGACTACATTA